AACAGGAGGGCCTTCGACTGTGGTCGGTCGAAGCTGCACTGACTCCTCTGGCGTCGTCCACCCCAGCGTCCTGATGGTACCCCCACTCAGTTGTGGTTTGCAGCTGGAGCGACGAGCTGCTGAGAAAAGGCGGGTAAGGGAAGTTGGGGAAGGCGCGTGAAACAGTGGAGGGCGAGGGTGGAAGCACTGATCCTCGAGGGCACTGCGATTGGTAATGGACGCGGCCGTTTGCCTAGGGATGACCAGAGCCGAATCCGCAGCAGGCATCACTTCGCGGTGCTCGCGTGGAACGGTCTGGTGAAGTGCACTGCAGAATGGCAAAAGAAGGGTTTCGCCCGGCTGAACCTGTGAGGGATGAGTGCTCTGCGAGCTTCTCCCCGCCACAACACCCACTACGCCCGCAACTCCGATGCAGAAAGCCAGCACGCGGGAATCGGTGCCCTTGAGGGCTTAGTTTGCCCGTGCCGAGAAGAAGGAAGACTACGCACGGCGACGATCAGAGGGGGAGGTGGAGGTAGGAATCGCTCCCAAGACGAAACGTGCCCCCGTCGAGGGTCAGATGCGCGCTGGCCTTGCAATAGGCCTTTAGTTCGTGGGTCCTCCACCGCCTTTAATCCTGGACACTCCCCTCCCAGTGGCTGCTCCTTTGTGCGGCGGGTGTCGCGCTGGGTGCGGCGCCCACGCGCCCCTCTGCCGGCGAAGCGCACATTTTTACTGGTGCTGCGGAAGGCCTCCTCCTCCTCCTCCGACGTGTTCGCCGCCTCCTGGTCCTCTTTCCCCCGATCCTTCTTGGCCTGGTCGCGCGCGGCGTCGCAATAGTAAAACCAGTTCTCGGCATTGGCTACGGCCCCGATGTTGGCAGCAGCGTACTCGGGGGTGAAGAATCACTCGCAATTGGCGTCGGCGGGGTTGACTAGAAAGATGGCTGCCTTCCTGTTGCCATCTGGTGGGCCTCGCACGTGGTTCGCTGCCAGTGGCTCTTCTCGCAGCCTCGGTGGCTTCGAAATGCACGCAGCCGTAACACTTAGAGTTCCACTGCAGGTCGGCGGCAATGGCACAGTACTGGATGGCCCCGAAGATGCTGCAAGTCGCATGCAAGGCCTTGGCGTCTACGACCAGCTCTAGGTTGCACGCAACAATATAGGTATGAAAAAACGGCCCTACCCTGGGTTACAAGTGCGTGGTCTGCAAACCTCCTGGGAACCCCCAAAGCCTAGAGCCGCCAGGACGCGGCACATCATGCAGGTTTTACCCTGTCAGCCCCCAGGAGTTTCAGCGCACAGCGCCTCGTAAACCAGGGTAGGGGCGTTTTTTTATGCCCGTGCAATAACAGCATCCTCGGTGGCCTCCTGCGGAGACCTGGCATCCAGCGGCGGCCCGGCTCCAGTGCCAGGTCCAGGTGCGCCCCCCCCCCCCCCCATCTGTACAGGGCGTCTTGACACCCGGCGGGGGTTGCTGCGCTGGCGCGCGTGCGTCCCCCCTGTACAGAGCGACTTGGCAGCAAGCGGGGCTTGCGGCACTCGTGAAGGTGGCTGTGCTGCCAGAGGTGCCTCAGGTGCCTGTGCTGTCTCTGGCTGTACGACTTCATCCACAGCAGGGGGCGCGACCGCCTGGTCGGCCTGGCCATCGCGCTTGGCCTCGGCCTTGGCGCTGTAGGCCGCGACCGCCAGCGCTTGGGCGGCAGCGGCTCGCCCAGCGGCTTTCCTACCGACCTGGCACTCGGTAGCGGCCCGAGCGGACTCCGCAGCCACTTCTGCCAGTTGGGCCTACCCAGGTCTCCTGTAGCTCCCCTTGTCGGCCTCGCGGGCAAGTGCTGCGGCGGTCCAGCAGCCTGGCGGGGGAACTCTCTGTCGGGATGATCATGGGAACGCTAAGTATTATAGGCCATGTGATTGGAATCTGGACGGTCCGCTATCGCAACACTGGGCCACATCAACTTCGGACTTCCAAACTACACCCTGATGGTGCCCCAAACTTTGTGATTTGAGCTGCGCGCTGCCCTGAGACTGCGACCCCCCCCATTTCTGAGTGTCCGATAATTTTTCTCACGATGTGTGTGGCTCGGTGTGGCCGCAATGTGCGTATTTGAGGGTATCGGATGCGTCGCCTCTTGGATATGCCCGCATGTGCGTATGCCTCATACTGCACGCCGTCGCAAGGTCGCCAAAGAAGATCATGCGCGTGATCATGGTGGCTCATGGTCAGCACTGGCCATCGCTCGGACGTCCATTCCCTGTGTTTTGTTGGTTTCGTGTGTGGTTTCTCCGCCAAATGATCAAGGATGCTCGTCGATGGTCCTCGCCGAAGGAAAAACGCACCCGTCCGAGCGATGCCAAGAGCAAGTGCGGTATTGAAAATGGCGCAGCCCGCTTCCCCTTGTGGAGGCTGGCACGCCTGGCCCGGCGCCGCGGACCAGGCGGGGAGGGCACGCGCCCCCGAGTCAGGTGACGGTTTTCCTCCTCCTCCTCCTCCTCCTCCCTCCTCCTCCCTCCTCCTCCTGCTCCTCCTCCTCCTCCTCCTCCTCCTCCTCTCCTCCTCCTCCTCCTCCTCCTCCTCCTCCTCCTCCTCCTCCTCCTCCTCTCCTCCTCCTCCATCCTCCTCCTCCTCCTCCTCCTCCTCCTCCTCCTCCTCCTTCCCTCTCTATTCTCTTTCCGCGTATCGGGCCACGCCGGTCCGCCCGGCGCCCCCCCTACCGGGGCCACGCTGGTTGGTGCCTCGAAGAACCGCCGATGCGTCCCGGTGAGCCTTATACAGCGACTCCCGGGCGCCCAGCGTCGCCCCCCCATGGCCAGAACCTCTAAGCACGGGCGGCATGCCTTGTCAGGCCTATCGCCTGGCACCCGAGGCCCCGGAGGGGCTCTGAACCCGCTGGAAACCCCCGCGTGGGGCGCCGCCAGTCAGGCTGATCGGTGCCGTGCCCATCCCGCGAGATGGGCAACGGCCTGCGCAAATACTGCCCCTCCCCACCAGGTGTGTCCACAGGCCAGGGGGGCGGAAGGGCAGAGAGGGAGCGACCCGGCGGCAACCACCCCAGCGGGGCCCCAAAGAGGCCGAAACAATCTTTTTTAAATGTCAACATTTTAAGTAGATGGTCCTCGACCCCTCCCTGGGGGCGGCCCCTGGCCAAGGAGAGGGGACAGAGAAGGCGCGCGGGAGGGGAGGGGGGAGGAAGAAGGGGCGAGCAGAGGGAGGGGGAGGGGACGGAGAGAGGGCAGGCGGGGGCAGGAGAAGCCCTGGACAACATCGCCTCGGGCGAGCCGCTGAGGCCCCAGAAGCATCTGGGTTCAGTCGGTTCAGCGCTGGGTCACCAATGGAGCCGCTGCCTCCAGGTGCCACCGAGGAGGCGCCAGCAACCCACTGGCGATAGTCAGGTTAATGCGGGCCCCCGTTGGTGCCTGGAGGCGGCCATTTCCGCAGCGAATCTGTCGCCGAGGCGGCTGCCTCCGGGCTGCCACCAGCTACCGCGCACCAGCTATACTGTGGGTGGCGCAGGATCTGCGCAGATCTTGGCGCCCGAATTTCACAGCGGCGCTGGGGCTGGGCTGCCGCTGCTTCTGCCTGCGGCGCCTCCTCCACCGGCGGCGCGCCCAGGATCAATTCCGCGCTGAGGGGGTTTGCTGTCAGGGCCGGGCACTGCATGAGTAGGTGCACCGCTGTCCCTGGGGCGCCGCCGCACAGGCGGCAAGGGGGCGCGACTCCTGCTCGGTCACAAACAAGGGCCCCCTGAAGCGCCAACCGCGCCCACGCCTGCACCTCCTCCGTCGTGCACCCGGCCGCAACCAGGTGATGCGCCCCCAAGGCCCTTGGACTGGTTGTCCTCGCGCGCACCTGTGGCTTGGCCTCCTACCAGGGCTGCTCCACTTGCTCATGCAGTCGGCGTCGCACTCGGCCCCGAAGTTCAGGAGCACTCGCCGCCGGCTGGCCTTGGTCCGGCTCTGGGCTGCCCCCGGGTGTCGAACTCCCAGGCGTCCAAGAAGTCCTGCCATCGCTGCAGCCCAGGAGCTTTGGACCTTCTCCGACAACTGGGGGACCTCTTGCGCCTTGGTGTAGCGGGGGTCCACCTGGATCCTGGCCCACAACATGCACGCCAGCCCGCGGTAGTGCGTGGACCACCGCTCCTTCTCCGCCGCAAGGCTCCCTTCTCCTCCGCCTCCTGCTCAACCTGCTCAGCCTCCTGTTCCTCCTCCTCCTTCTTCTTCTTCTGCTCCTCCCTGTTCTCCTGCTGCTGCTGCTCACCCTCCTCCCTCCCTCCCTTCCTCCCTCCCTCCCTCTCTCCCTCTCTTCCTCGTCTTTCCGTCCCTCCTTTCCCTCCTCCTCCCTCCTCCTCCTCCTCCTCCTCCTCCTCCTCCTCCTTCTCCTCCTCTTCATCCTCTTCCTCCTCCTTGGTCCTCCCACTCCTCCTCGTCGTCCTCCTCCTCCTCCTCCTCCTCCTCCTCCTCATCATCATCATCATCATCATCATCATCATCATCATCGTCATCGTCATCGTCATCGTCATCGTCATCGTCATCGTCATCGTCATCGTCATCGTCATCGTCATCGTCATCATCATCATCATCATCATCATCATCATCATCATCATCATCATCATCATCATCATCATCATCATCATCATCATCCCTGTTCCTCCTCCTCCTCTTTCACCTCCTCTTCCCTTCTCCACGGCCCCTGGGACCCCCAAGACCGAAACCGACTCCTTCAGGCGACCCCTGTGGCGGCCAGAACGCTACCGAGGGGATCCCCCCCTCCTCCCCCCCGCCTCTCCGCCTCGGTTCCCCGCCCCCCGCCGCGGCCTCTGACGGCTCGCCCCCCCGGGGTGGCCCCAGACCCGCCGAAAGCATCCCCGAGGCCGCCCCAACGCCCCCGCGAGAGGCTCCGGGCGCCTCCGCCGGCCTTCGCGGGGCCTTCGCGAGGGAATCCGGAAGCCTCCGCGGGCCCCTCGCGGCACGCGCGCGCGCGAGCTGCGGCGGCGGCCGGCGGCCGCAGCGGTGGCGGGCGGCCTCTCTGGAGCCGCCGCCGGCTCTGCGCGCTGGGGGGCCTGCCGGTTCAGGCCGTACTTCTCCTCGGGCCGCGGGGGGCAGCCACGGAGGACGGGCGGCGTTCCCTCCTCCTCCCTCGCCCTCCTCGTCGTTCGTCGTTCGTCGCTCGTCGTCCGTCGTTCGTCGTTCGTCGCCGCCGTCGTCGTCGTGCTCCTGGGCAGATCCCAGACCCAGCTGATTCCAGCTGGCTTCCCCATGGGATCTGAATAACATCTACTCGGGATGGTGATTCCAGTTGGATTCCTATCGGGATATAACTCACATCGCATTGGAATTGGGCACATACCAGATCCAGCTGTGTCCGATTGGATTCTCTTTGGGGTACAATTGTCATATACTTCGAATTGAGCAGATCCCATATCCAGTCGATGCCGGCGAGCTTTCAGCAGGAGAACACAACGGAGAAATGACGAATGGGACATATGGATGATCAGGCACAGATGACAAGAAGGCGGATGACCAGTAAGAGAACACATGAACAACTCAAAGACCTATGCAACATTCAAAATGGTGGGTGCTGGGGAAGGCTGCGCGTAAGTACGATACTTACGCAGGCCGAACGATTTCCCTCTTGAGCCCCAAATGTCGGAAACGACGTGCCGTGCAGGCGAGCGGATACCCGTAGCGCTCCCTTCGGCTTGGGACGTGCCATATGTTATGGGAGGAAATGCGGGAGTTGGCCGTGCCCGCTGTGGCGTTCGAGCGAGCAACCTGATGTTCTCGGAAGATTTTCGGGAGATGGCCAGGCCCGCTGTGGAGCTCGAACAACCGCATGTTATGGGAGGAGTTGGAGTGGCCAGGCCCGCTGTGGTGCTCGAGCTTCCGATCTTGACAGCTTGCTTGTGTGTGTCCTCACGTTCCCCGTCTTACCTCTTCCCTCCTCCTCCCACCTCCTCCCTCCTCCCCCCGCCTCCTCCTCCCCCTTCTTTCCTCCTTCCGCATCCCTCCTCCCTCCTCCCCCTGCTCCCCTTTCTTCCTCCCTCCCCCCCCTCCTTCTCTCCGATTGTTCCTCCTCTCTCTTCCCTCCCCCCGTCCCTTTTCCCCTCCCCCCGTCCTAGTGTCTCCTGCCTCCTCCTTCCCCTCTCTGTCCTGGGAAGACCCCCCCTTCTCCCATAGAATCGTAACTCTGGTCAGCAGATCCACAATTCCGTGGATAACATGCTGTTGCACGTGCGGTGCCCCGCGGATCCCATGTCCCCTGGGTCCGGGATGCAAGTATTACTATTTAGCTACTCCCGGAACATGCATGGATCCATTTGTTTTTCTTGATCCACGACGCTGTCGCACACCCGAAACATGATCCAATTGGATCCATGGGTGCTCTTATATGCTTTGAACTTTCGGCCAGGGGGTGTATATACACACTTATGTGTGCATGTATATGTAAATGTATACGCATGTGGAGTTGTAAATGTTTGTGTGCCTGTACAAAGGTATGTGTACGGCTGTGTGCGCATGTCTGTATATCTGCATGTGTAAGTGCATGTGTATGTATACGTAAACGTAGATGTGTATGCGTATATCGGTGTACACCCTACAGGATAATTAAGAAAAAGCAACTTCGGAGCCAGGGTCTGGATTTTCTTAACCCTATTTAAGAAAATCTGAGTTCCAGGGTAGACTATTGAGATTTTCTTAAGTATGTAAGATAGACGCCGAAACAAAACAAGAAGAAGGAGGAGAAGGCGGAGGAGGAGAGCGCGGAGGAGGAGGAGGAGGAGGCGGAGGAGGAGGGGGGCATCTGAGCATTTGAATTGATTGGCATCATGTGCATTTCAATTGATTGACATTGTGCATCGCCGTCGGAACCGGAATGGGTTGCTTTTGGTATGCTTGAATTGACGGTCGTTCCTTCCGTTCCCGTCCCGTTCCGTTCCGTTCCTCCCGTATATATTCATGTTGGTTTATACCGGATATAATACTATAGATCGTTGGTTTTGTAATGATACCGGAGTTATTTTTCGGCGGTAATCGTTGGTTTATCGGCCGCATTTTTATTTATATTTATACCGGAATTGACAGTAATTACCGGGCAGCGGCAGCAGCAGTGGCAGCAGCTTATAAGGAGGAGCAAGGAGGAGGAAGCAGATCTTCTTTTGTCTTTCTCTCTTGCTTGCTTTCTCTACTCTTTCCCTCCTCCCTCCCGGCTTTGCCATAACATGCCCGCTGCCCCCCTTAGCGGCAGCCGCGAGGCGCCGCATGATTCGTTGTTCCCGTGGTCCTGTGGTCCCGTGGCGCGGCAGAGCTGGGTTTCGCGCTGCCTTCCGCCTGAGCGCGGCTGCGCCTCGCTCGAAGCCCGCGGGGTTGTCCGAACGGTTTGGTCTTGCGCGCCAACGGCTCGCGAGGTTGTCCCGACAGCGTGTCGTCTGACTCTGTGGTCCCCTGGCTTGATTATTTGGTGTCTGTTAAAAAACGCAAAAAGACATTAAACGAAAGGTTCGCGATTCAAGAGAAAGATATTAGAGTTTCGTGTCATTGTGGCCTTCTAGCCTTCATATTGGTAGCGTGTCTAAAAAAACGCAAAACACATATTAAACGAGAGTTTCGCAGTCCGAGAGAATCATATCAGAGTTTTAGTTCTCGTGATCTTGTGTTGTCCTGATTCGTTAGTCATGTAGTCACATGGCTCGATTATTCTGTCTCCTTGTGGCCTTCATATTGGTAGCGTGTCTAAAAAAAAAAGCAAACACACATTGAAACAGAGATTCGCGGTCCAGAAGGAAGATATTAGAGTCTCAGTTGTCGTGAACCCCTGTTGTCCTGATTCGCTGGTCGCGGCGTTTTGGTGTTCAAATTTGCTGGTCGCGGCGTCCTCGTGCTCGAATTTGCTGTTTGTAGCATTTCGGTGCTCAAATTCGCTGTTTGCGGCGTTTCGGTGCCAAAATTTATTGCTTGCAGCGTTTCGGTGGTCGGATGCGCCGCCTGCTGCGTTTCGGTTCTGATGCTGTTTCCGCCGCCTCGGTGCTCAAATTTGCTGTTTGCGGCGTTTCGGTGCTGAAAAGTGCTGTTTATGGCGTTTCGGTGCTCAAATTTGCTCTTGCAGCGTTTCAGTGTTCGAATGTGCTGTTTGCGGCATTTCGGTGCTCAAATGTGTTCTTTGTGGCATTTTGGTACTCAAATTCGGAATTTCTAGCGTTTTGAAGCTTAAATTAGCTGTTTGCGGAGTTCGGTTGTCAAATTTGTTATTTGTTGCGTTTCCGTGCTCTAATGTGCTGTTTACTGCATTTCGATGCTGAAATCTGTTGATTGCGACGTTTCGGTGCTGATAGGTCCGTTTGCTGCGTTTCGGTGTGCGAAATTGTTGTTTGCGGCGCTTCGGTGTTCTAATGTGCCGTTTGCGGCGTTTTCGGTGTGCATTTTTTTGTTTTGTTGCGCGCCTCGCTGCTCTCATTTGCTGCTTGCTGCATTTCGGTTGTCAAATTTGCCGCCATCTGCGGCGTTTCCGTGCTCAAATTTGCCGTTTGCAGCGTTTCGGTGCTCACATTTGCTGTTTGCGGCGTTCCTGATGTCAAATTTGCCGTTTGCTCCGTTTCGGTGTTCATGCTGTTTACAGCGCTTCTGTGCTGAAATATGTTGTTTGCAACGTTTTGGTGTTCAAATTTGTTGTTTGCGGCGTTTTTGTGTTCGAATTGGTTGTATGCGGATTTTCGGTTGTCATATTCGCTGTTTGTGGCGCTTGGGTATTCAAATATATTATTTTTTCAAATGATGTTTTATGCTATCATGTATTGATCTCTATAGCCCGGGGTTTCTGTAGATCCAGACCCAGACCGCGGGTTAAGAAAACGGGGTTTCCAGAGTCTGTTTTCTTAGGTTAAAGTTTTCTTAATTAAAATTCCCGGTGTAGGTGTACATGTATAGGTTCACGCCTGACGGCACATAAGCACGCATGTATGTATATGTATATGTATATGTACGAATGTAAGACAGATGTGCGTTTAGACAAAAAAACAGATGTGCAAAACAATACACATGTGCGAGCGTGCTAACAAGTCGTGCTATCGAGCGGGCCCGCACGCGGCAATCTATGCAAGCAAGAACGTAAGCGAGCCACGTACCAGAAACATTAGGAGGCAACTGCTGGGAGGTTTTCGTCGGAAAGATTAAGGAGGATCAAGCCCCATTTGGGGGCTATTACGCCGGAGTGGGCCTCGGAGTAAGCGGGATTAAACCGGATTAAGCGGGATTAAGCCAGATTAAGCGGGATTAAGCGGGATTAAGCCGGATTTCGGACCAGGGCAAGATCAGAATTTGACCTCCCAGGAGTTGCATCCGGAAGAAACAGGTGTGCACAGATGCAAAGCTATGACGAGTTAGGCTGCTATCCCAAGCAGGTGGCAGTATCAAGCACAAGCATAATACGTTGCTTTGCAACAGCATCAACATATAAGGAATACGCGCGCGTGTCGCATTCCGTGAACCTCTGAACTGGGCACATACACGCACCAATAACACATTGCAGGAGCGCTGGGCCATTCTAATGGACATCGCTGTGGTCGTTGCAACGCCGTTGCCCGAAAGGTCGGGCACCGCCCGCTGTTTCTCCGGCGTGATCTGTTTGTCTGTCTTGTAGTGGACGAGTGAACGTCTGCGCCGAATTCTGGACGACAGAACGCCGCTGCCACACCGCACACTAGAGCCCCTGCCAGGGGATGCGCGGCGGACCGCGCGTCCCGCGCAAGCTGTTGGACACGCTAGCCACCTGTGGATCAGCACGCCTGCCTCCAAAGGCGTCCTGGCTTGGATCTGGGAAGGGGGGGGCATCGCACTGGGTGTCAGCTGCCACAGAAGCAGGACCGCCCCGGCGCGCGACAGGCCCAAGTCACACCAAATTGCTCAGCGCACGGATGCTTCAGCTGTCCCCACTCGCGGCTTCCACAGTGGGGGCAAGCGCGCACCCCAGCCTTGAAAGCTGGAACAAATATACGCACCACGCGGGGCCGACGTTCGAGATGGTGCAGAAGCTGTCATGTTGGCGGGGACTCGAGACGAACACTCCGAGCTCTGTCGCGGAGATCTT